CCCCATCATAAGGCCAGTGAATGTCCCAAAAGGAGAAGAAGTCCTGCAGACCGTAACATGCAAAATCTATACCAACGATTCCAACTGGCGCAATTTACAAATTATAAAGCGCCGCCAAAAAAGTTATCTGGCGCAGTGAATCCAAACATTATCTTTGCTCACGTGACCCAAGGGGGAAATAACAACGACAAAGGAAATAAAAATGAGCACAAACCAGCTAACAATTCAACAAAGAATGCGTCACAAGCAAACCAACAACAACAGATCAAAAATATTACCGTCACACCTACAGAATCATGGTCTGATGATGTCCCACCGAACCTAGACCAAGAATACTATTATGATCAAATGAGCTGCCCCACACCTGGAAGTAACATCAAAAATGGTATCAAGGCCGGAGGTTCCATGCATGACAAACCTGATGAATCATTTAAAGCATTTGTAAAACAACAATTCGGTAATTTGGCAACGCAAATGAGCATACTGGTAGAAACTCTTGCCTTTACAGTCAAAAGAGTCGAATCTGTTGAACGATCATTAAATTTCAAAGTAGTGAAACCTGGGGATGCTGACGCCCACAACTTAAATTCTAATGAGATGATTGATGATTTAATCCCTCATATTGATACATCCGCTTCTATCGTAGTTCAACAACGCCAAACCATTGAAGGATTACGCAGCGTCAATGAAATGCAACAAAAAAGGTTGAAATCATTCACTTCCACCGTTAATACTTTAATGCAATCATGTTCTGCATTCCAATCGATCCTGTTGAAGGCTAATTTGCTCCCAACTGATCAAACCACTACATTCTTCCCACTTGGAGATCGCTTCGACAGTGATATTGATACGTTCCTCAAAGATCTCCCCAAATTTTAATATTTAATTTATGAATACTGTCTTTACAGATGCAGTTGCACAAGATGCACATAATCATATACAAACAAACTCTTCCTCCACAATTCCCCACTTATCATTTGCCACACATAATACCCGTTCTTTCACTAATGTCGCTAAACAAAATTTTTTAATTGAACTCTACTCTTCATTGGATATAGACGTCATTGGCTTACAAGAAACCAATTTCGCACACTCTCATATTCGACCATTTAATTTCACTTTTCTTCACCAATATCAAGGGTTTTTCAGTACTCCAGCTAGTTCGATCGCTCATAAAACTGGCTTTAGTGTCGGTATCATACTAAAACCTGTTCTTGCCAATCATGTCTTTCATTATGAAGTCAAACACAATCGTTTAATTATAGTGGACCTGCAATTTGCAGACAAACAAAAACTTAGAATCATTAATTGTTATCTCCCGCCTGGAAACCGTGCACTTAGGATGGTTATTCAACTCGACCTCATGAAATATATTAGAGATGCAACCTCCAAAAACTATCACATCGTTTTACTTGGTGACTTCAATGCTGATATGGATAACCCAAAACTGCACTCACAAGACAAAAATCTTTTCACCATGCTGGCTAACGCTCATCTTTTTGATACATTTACAGTCAAATATGATCAGCACCGTGCCGCTTATCCCACCCATCATTCAACAAATTTGAATTCGCGAATTGACTTTATCTGGTCGTCCGGTGACGTGATCTCCAACTTTAATTTTTGCGACACAGAAGAGGTGTTACCCTCCATATCGGACTATTCTTTAGTTATTCTTAGCGTGGATAACTTCTTTACTGCTAAACAAAATAAAAGACGTATTCCCTCAAAAATAGTTTTTGATTACGATAAAATGTCAGATGACAAGTGGACTGAGTTCGGTATTAAAGCTGATGCGCTAGCCAACAGGTGTCAACTTCGTGCACTCAATAACAATACGGTCTTTAGTCAACATAACTTAAACCGTTATTGGGACCTCCTTCAGGAATGTATCATAAAAGCTGCGGATACTCATATTCCCTCCCACAAATCCAAAGGGCAGCATTCGGCGAAAAGACCTCCTCTTCTGTCTAAATTATACAAACAACTTAAATTTTTATATAAATTTAAGAAAGCAACTAAGAAAATCAAACGCATTCTGGTCTTCCCCTCCAACTGGTCAACTTTAATGGATAGATTTTATATTATGATGAATGACTCCGATATTGTTTACGTTTCACTACTACCTACTCCTTTAGTTTCCTTCATTGCCTCACTTTTTCCTTTTATTGAACAGCTGCTTGGCAGCGTTCTCTTGAAAGCGAAGCTTCATGAGCACGAATTTAAGCTCAAATCAATACAACTAGCCATTGAAAAAAGATTGGACAATTATCATTCGTCACCTGCAAAGATGACTGACTCGCTATTAGGACGTTCAAAAAAAACAATTATCATTGACCGGTGTGTCAACAATGCATCCTCATCACGTGACCTTTTAACGGATGAAGACGCTGTAAAACAAGAAGTTGCCAGACACTTCCAAATGGTGGCTGGTACTGCTCATGAAAATGTTCCTATTGATGACGACTGGTTACCCTTCTATCAACCGTTATCCGGTATCGATTTCGCTATTTACAATAATTTAATGGATGCACCATCAGCAGATGAATGGTACGATCTTATTGATCATCTTCCTAATGGAAAAGCTCCCGGTCCTTCCAAAGTTTCTAACGATATGCTTAAACATCTCGGTCCTTT